TACCCCCCCATTACCTAGAATGAAATATCACCACCCTATTACCTAGAATGGAATATCCCTCCCCATTCTTTAGCCTGTCTTCATTTCCTGTCTCTCTTTAACCATTTGCCGTCTGGCCGTTGTAATTAAACAGCCGGACGGCGGCTTCTTGAATGCGGGCGGGCGCTTTTAAATGTCCTTTCCTGCCCCACTCGTGCCAGCTGCACTTGCACGCCGCTTGGCGGCGCGCACAAGTGGGAAATCTGTTTGAAATTCAAACGTTCCGGCTTGAATTATGCAGCCCCCCCCCCATTCCAAGCTCCGCTGTGCCCGGTGCGAGCTGGGACCGGCACGGCGGCTCTGTCCCTGAAGATCAGCACACGATCTCCCTCCAATCTCCAGTCCGGTCTCTGAATGCAGGAAGTGGTGTATGTTACATCACTTCCGCATTCAGCTGTCACTCTCCAACTTCAGATGCTGGTGAAGTAGATCTCTGCTTCTTTGGGGGTCCCTAGGTGACATTAGGGGGTCTTAGAGACCCCTGATGTCTCCATAAAGAGGACCTGTCACTGTAAATTGGCTATCACATAGGGGGGTTTGTTAGCCTCCTATGTGATAGCAATAAAGTTAAGTGAAAAAAAAAAAGTTAAAAAAAAAATAAAAATGAAAGTCGCATATTAAAAAAAAATACATTTTTTAAAGTCCCCACCACCCACATGCACACGCAAACATGCGTCGGGTGCACCTACATGCGAAAGCGACGATTGCGGAGCATGAGCAATAATTTTAGGGCCATCAGTCACTAAACCGATGAGCACTAAAAGCTTTTTAAAGAGTCGCCTATGGTCAATTTTAGGCATGGTAGGTTGTTTTTTTTGCAGTTTCGTGCGCACGCAATTTTAAGGCTTGACATGTTTGGTGTCTATTTACCCGACGTGACCCTGACTTTTATATTTTACCCAAAACTTGGTAATAATAAATGTTTTATAACGTAGGGAAAACAGTTTTTTTTTTTTTCTAAATTTAGGGTACTTTTTTCGTTGTATAGTAAAAAATAACCCCCCCAGTGGTGATTAAATACCACCAAAAGAAAGCTCTATCTGTCCCCAAACAATGGTATAAAATGTATTTCAGTGCAGCGTTGCATGACGGAATAAATGTCAAAGTACCGCAGCGCTGAACACCGAAAAATGGCCGGGACAGGAAGGGGGTGTAACACCGCGGTCAGCAACTGGTTAAATCATCATCACTCCCCTCTCATCCTGATCCCTACTGTTGAGAGCTTTCAGCTTTCTCTGCCACCAATCATTTTTGCTGTCCGTCATGTGTGGGTGTGCTCTCTAGGGTCAGAGTCAGTCTCTGTATTGCTCTTCTTACAGATTAAATAAAAGAACACATTCCGTGCCTCCTGACCGGTCCTTGTTGTTCCTTCAGCTGCTCCTCTTCTGTCCCCTGCCATCCCTTTTAGACCTCCCTTCCTGCTGGCCACTGGGTGTTGTAGACTTTTAGCTGTGCAATCTGCCGATCAGTTGCTTGTGTCCACTCTAACAGAGTGATCAGCAGTGGTGTCACAAGGGGGGTGCGGCCTGTACCCGGGTGACACCATTGGAGGGGTGACACCAAAATGACTGCCAGTCATTTTGGTGTCACCCCCCTCTTAAAAGTCCGGCACTCGGTCGAGGACGGAGAGTCCGACATTTGCCCCGAGAGAGGAGGGGACCCGGCGGGATAAGGTATGCCGCCGGGTCCCTTCCTCTCTCTACCGGCGTCCATCACCGAGAGGGCCGACGGCAGGTAACAGCGGTACCGCGCGTGATGACGTCACTGCAGGGTGTCACCCGGTACCCGCACTGGGTGTCACACGCCTCTGTTGCACGGCTAAAGTGCGCAGCACCCAGTGGCTGGCCGGCAGGGATGCCGGATCTGTGTCCTTTCATAGAACACTCAAGGCCGGGAGACATAATGTATACAGGAGCCTGTAACGTAAGAAAAGTCCAGCAGATAGACCCAGTGATGATGTCACTGGTCCCCAAAAGGGGTATTTTTTGAAAATGAAATGATTGGACTAAAAAATTGTTGTTGGGGGGGTGCGGGGAAGTATTATATGCCTACAGTTTTAAGCGACGGAGCTGATTGCACCGACTTGACCTATAGGTGGCCACAAGCAGGTCAGATTGTTAGTAAATAGGAAAATCACTTTTGGTTCAGGTGGCCAAGATAAGGACCTGCTGCCATGACGACAATCCTTCCCTAGGGGCGGCTGAAGTCACCTGAGGCTCTGGAATCTAAGCACAGAAGTGACAGGCGGAGTGTTCCACCCCACACGCTGGCCACTGCCTATGTCCTACACGCTGACAACTCCGGAGTTGCACTTTAAGAGAGTCTTCAAGTTGGCGTCTCCGTATCTGCTAATGATGTTATTATGAGGTGTGACAGTATTCGGATTAGACACCGCGGCCGATAAGGAGCTGGCAGCCGCGCCGAGCTCTCCGCCATTAATAGTCAGCATGTTATAAGCCAAGAACAGCTGATACGAGTCATCGGTGACGTCTTCTCCCGAACATTTCCAGGAATGAGGAGGCCTTGACCCTTCCTCATTGGTTCCAGAGCCGTAGCTAGCTCCTCTTGCGTCTGAGGCAAGAACAGAAAATTGTGCCCCCCCCAACAGACGTGTGCGGTATGGGACGTTATGCGCCCCGCCTTCGGGGCGCCGAGTCCTCTGCCCATACAGGTGGTGGTGAGCAGCGGGGGTCCGAGGAGAAGGTGGAGCCTGTGCTGCTCTTCTCCCTGCAGAGCCGTGGCTGTATTGGTATTGTATCATCATACCTGATGAAGGGGACCCTGCGTGGCCCCGAAACGTTGTTTTTTGACAGTCTGCATCAATAAAGAAGATGGATTATTGACACAAGTCATGTGTCACGGTGTGCTGGTGACATTTATCATATATTTGAAGATGCGTGGCGCCATCTGTGGTTACTACAGCACCCTTCTTTATACATAGGGGTTCCGGTAAGGAGTGCAGCAGTTCCTCTCCAAGATTGTATTGGCCGCCTGGCGCCCCTGTTGCCAATGCCGTCCTGTGCTCGCCATGGCAACAGGGGTAAGGGGGCGCAGCCAGGCTGGCCCTGGCTGCGCCCCCTCCTAGCTGTGCCTGAGGCGAGTGCCTCACTCACCTCATGGTAGCTACAGCCCTGATTGGTTCACTTAAATTATAGAAATATATAGAAAGGGGGAGGAGAAACCTGGTCAGAGAACGACCACAAAAATGACCAAACCGTAGCTACCTCCCCCCCTCATAGGTCTCACCACTATGGGAACCTGAACCTCTATATGAATATCCCTGGCTGTCGGCCATTTACACCAGCTGCCCCCAGAGCCCCATTTGCCCGTGACCTCCTTGTACCTTTAAATCCCCCTCCAGAAGCCCCCACCACTGTGTGCGATACACATCTCATCCTTGCCCCCCGAAAAAAGCGGACCTTGTCTGCGGAACGCGTCAACGTGAGTGAAAGTCCCTGCGCTTGAACATCTCACGGAGGTCCATGGACTTCCTGTTGGAATATTCATATCTGGATCTCGAGAAATTGTTTAGTAACTCATGAAGATTTTTTTTTCGAATCATGAGCTGGGAACATCTCCAACAGCCTCTTGTACTTTAGATGTTGGCATGGTCAATTTTTACCCAGAGATCTCAGTGCAGGGCCAGATGAGAAGTCAGGTGACCCACGCGCCAGGCAGGCTTCCATCTCTGAGACATCTTCGGGACGAGATACCGTTAACTCTTCCATGTGTGTATTATTGTGGCGGCTTTGGGGCTTCTCCAAGGCAATGCAGTCAAAGCTGGCGGTGTAATAGTGTCATGTGATCACTTTCAGCCAATTACATGAAGGCTGTATAAGCCAGGACCATACTATTTAATGTGTTGGGGGAGGTCGGTGTTCTTTATAAAAGTGGTCCTGAACCACCGAGCCTTCAGGTCCACCACCTCCTGTCTGTTCTTGCTGTCACACCAGGTTTGGACTTGCCCCATGGGAGGACCAGAAGATCCTCCAGTGGACCCCCACCCACCATGTCACTGAAAAAGCCTGGCTACTACTACTTTTTATGAATCAAGGTCCTCTAAGCTTAAATTATTCCAGATTGATCTGCACCCAATGGATCGGACATGGTTTTTCTCAGATATCATTAAAAGAGGTACTGGTGGGTCAGTCTTCATCTGTGGGTGGCCCTGGATCCTGTCCTAAGGTAAGTTAAGAACCACCACTGACACCAATGATATGAGAGGCCATTTTCCTTGTGGGCCTGCCATTTCACTGACACCAATGATTTGGGGGACCATTCTCCCTTGGGGGTCGCTATCCTACTGACACCAGAGATCTGAGGGGCTATTTCCCCCTGGGGTCCACTATTCCACTGAAACCATTGAGTTGAAGGACCATTTTTTTTCCTGGGGTTCACTAACACACTGACACTAATTATTTGAGAGTCCATTACATCGTGGGGTCGGACTTCAATGATGCAAGGGCTATTCTCCACTGGGGGCCACAATCCAACTGACACCCATGATTGGGGGGAGGCATTCTCCTCTGTGGGCCACTACCCCACTGACACCTATGATTTGGGGGCTTTTCTATCCTGGGGGGCAACTATCCCACTGACAACAATATTATGAGGGTCTACTCTACCCTAGGGCCACAATTCCTCTGACACCAATTAATTGGGGG